AGAGAGAGAGAGAGAGAGAGCTTGGGAGAGAAATCTGTGGAACTTTTACGCAGATCAGCACGGACACTTGGATATAAGGAAAAAACGTGTCATCTATTTTTATCGTCAGTGTAATTAGTCGACAGTGGTTCATTGAAACCCTCTCATCGGGAGCTTTGAGGAGAATATTCGGTGGAGAGACTGAAACAGAGAGGGAGGTTGTTGGGATGCTGCTCCCCAGCGCGCTCCGCTCCGTGCTGTGCGCCCTGTGCTGCGCGTGGCTGCGCACCGGAGCGGCCTCGCGCCTCAAGTCTCCAGCTCTGCCCATCCAGTCAGAGAGAGAGCCGCTGCCGTTCAAAGGCCTGTCAGGTAACACACCGTCATCTGCTTTCACAAGAATTAAACTTCGCTTATTAGTTTGTGTTAGACTTTGATCACCGTGGCCTGCAACTGTGCCTGTGTGAGGCTGCCCACAGGACGAGCGCAGTGGTAACACCTTCAAATGAGAACGTAAAGTGACTGTAGTTTATATGTTTAACAAATTAATATAAACCAGCCGATAGAAAAAGCAGCATTAAGTATTTCAAACTTTCTTTACACCAAGCGGGGGCGATAGCGAGCACTTAAAAAGTCCGGATTTTGTTTAAACTAACGCTTTTTGGAATCTTAATTATGCCGAATTGCAGTAAACACATTGCTTCTGTTATCAGTCGTAGCATAAGTATCAGCTTATCATGTGTGTTGCATAAAAAACACAATTAAACTTTATATTGTCTTTATTATGTATGGGATTTGGTGCTGCATGTGCGTAAAGGGCCAGTTTACAGACTCGATAGTGAACTCGATCGTCTCAGTAGATAACTCTCTAAGAACAGGCAGCCTAAACATGCAATTTAAAATTGAACACGTGTCCCCTGCTCCCCCCCCACCCTCCCTCCATATAACAACACGGGCTACTTACTACAGTTCCCTTAATTGCCAGTGTTGCTCAAAACCAGCGGCGAACATCTGAGTCATAACCGCAGCGAATACCATTTGATTCACGTGTGAAAAGTAAAAAATCCCTGCGCGTATACACAGAGAAAGAAAAGAGCCCGCAGCGCGGTTATTATTCTAAGGTAACTTCTGTGGGGCTCGACACTGTGGGAACTCCACGTTCACAGTGTAATCCAACGCTGGAAAGTGCAATCAGTCCACTTTTCCATTACAAGCGCTGGCTGCTTGCGCACATGATTTATTTCTGCAGAGACAGAAGTGGCAGGCGAAGCGAGCGGCTCACAGTTTGGACTGCACTGTTTAAAGTGTGCAGTCACTTTAATGAAAGAATAATGTGAACCAGGTTGGTAGCAGCGAGAGAGGAAGGCCATCAGCTCCAGTCCAGTTAGCATCACGCCTGGTGTGTGTGTGTGTGTGTGTGCAGCTATAGTTAGATAGGGGCTCTCATCACACACCACCACCTCTTACCTACAGGCACTTATTCTGACCAACACTATAATACTCTTGTAGTAACTCAGCGTGACTAACAGCTATTGCACCGCAGTAATATCACTAAAAACTATTTTTATCTCCTGTAAAATCAATATACAGCACAGGCCCCATATATTAGAAAAGTCATGAGTGTTTAAAGCTGTGAATAGACTCCAGCACACAGTATTTAAAGTCACACAGCGGCTATAATTTTCACGTCCACACTGAGTGAGGAATTCAATTTTATTTGTAAAGCGCCAAATCACAACATACATTATCTCAAGGTACTTTACAGTAATGTCCAGACCATTGCCTCTTCTTTCAGTGGGGGTCGCTATAAGAAGAATATGGTTCTTCCAGTGTGTAAACAGTGTTTCAGTCTGATTTGGTGCTCACATTATGTTTGGTAGTAATTTCATTTCAAATCTAAAAAGCTGAAGTAGACACTGCAAGAGCCATTTTAATGTCTGTCTCATGCAGAGTTCGCTCTAAAGGGATGCACTTAATCACAATCCTTTCTTACTTATGTGAAATGCCATCTGAAGCTCTCTTGGACAAAGTTTGGCCAAAATTCTGTGCATTTCTGGGAATGCCTCATCATCCTTCAGTGGAAAACTGAATATCTCCCATGCTTGCTCATGGATCATTTCTTCGAGACAGGATGCAGGGTTGAGTCCCAAAAACCTGGCGAGGCATCCAGGGAGTTTCGGTCGCCTCCAAACATGTCTGGGCAGTGAGCTGTGCAAGATTTATTTGTTGAAAATATGAAAATTGGTACAGTGGTCTGGTCGGCACAGTTTGTCATCCTGCAGTCTGACACTTAATAAAATCCACAGAGTTGCACTTTTATTCTTGCTCTTATATATCAGGAACTTTATATAAGTCAGCTCATAATTTAAAAAGCCTCAAGTGAATTCTTTTCTGCTTCCTATAATTAATCCGGGCATAATTTAAAAATCACAAACCTCATATGTAATCATGTCATTTGACATAGTTTCTAAACAAGACTGCCTGTTGGTTTAGAACGGGACACTTCGATGATAATGTTTGTACGGTGTGTATTCAGCAGTGTTTGTGTTGCAGGATGCTCATTTGGAGGCCGATCCTACTCTCTAGCGGACACATGGCACCCAGATCTGGGGGAGCCCTTCGGTGTCATGCACTGTGTCCAGTGCCTCTGCGAACCAGTAAGTCTGACCTCAGTCTCCCTCTCTCTCTGCCCGTGCACACATATCAGGCTCGCTCTGTGCTGACTCGTAAACGATGTGTGACGCGGCTATTTCCTTTTATCTTGTGCAGCAAAAGAGTCGCCGTGGAAAGGTGTTCGGAAAGGTCAACTGCAAGAACATCAAACAGGACTGTCCCGACCCGAACTGTGACAATCCCGTCCTTCTGCCGGGCCACTGCTGTAAAACCTGCCCTAAAGGTAACCCCCCCCCCCCACGCCTTCTGTTTTCATCACAACAATGGTCTCTCTCCCTCAGTGTTGTTTATTCATAGTGTGAATCATACCTCTCTCCCTCTCTACCTCCCTCTTTCTTTCCCTGTGGGTCAGTTAGTAATTCTTCCGAACAGCTGCTGGATTCAATGAGCACGTCAATTGATTTTCCATTCAGCCGCATCAAATTGACATTTTCTCTTAACCAGCTACAACTGAAAGTGCCACCCATCTATTCAGCCTGATTCACACGCTGCCACTTACCTTGTCCTCACACTGCTGCACACACAGTTCCACCTTATTAGACAATTACAGCAACCCTGCATGCACACACACACACACACACACATGCAACACAATTAGGGTGGGTCTTCATGTGGCACTGTTATTTAGCAGATTGGGTGGTTTTTATGCCACGTGTGTGTGGTAATGGAATGGAAAGTAAAGGTAAAGCACTGTTATAGCAGTGTGTGTGTGTGTGTGTGTGTGTGTGTGTGTGTGTGTGTGTGTGTGTGTGTGTGTGTGTGTGTGTGTGTGTGTGTGTGTGTGTGTGTGGGTGTGTGTGTGTGTGTGTGTGTGTGTGTGTGTGTGTGTGTGTGTGTGTGTGTGTGTGTGTGTGTGTGTGTGTGTGTGTGTGTGTCAAAAATTGGAAAGGCCGTGACTGTGTGGTCAGGTTTGTAGGAAAAGGTTGAGTGTGTTTGTCTTACCATTGGCTCCAAAGCAGCTAGTATATTTGTGTAAGTGCTGGAAAATGTTGTGTGTGTGTGTGTCTGTGTGCATGTGTTTGTGTGTTTATATGTATGTGTGTGTAATGACTGGTGCACCTGAGGATACAGTAATGCTAAGTGGAGAGAAGTGAGAGTGACACTCCCCAGAAGCCCTTCAGTGTGCCCAGTGGAGCAGAGAGAAAGTGAGGGCAGAATGATGAGAACTGAGGTGTGTGTGTGTGTTTGTCTGTGTGTGTGTTTGTGTGTGTTTATTGGTGAATGTGTGTGAATCAGTCGCCAAGACAGAAAGCAGACAGTGCAGCTGCTCCTCACAGAACAACTTTGGAGAAATTTGGGTGACAAGTTGGGGTGACTAATAGGCAACGTGTGGTTTTTCTTTCTCAAGATTGTGTCAGCGTTTCTTCAGTTGGCTGAAGGAGCAGCTAACCACTGCATGTGCGTCTGTGTTTGTGCATAAGTAAAGCGGTGAGGTCGACACATTACATCAAGATGCACGGCAGCTTGTGTGGAACAGCGGGTCAGTGTTGGGATCGCACGCCAGTGTCACTCTCAATTCTCCTTAAGCTCCTCAGCTGCAAGAGACACTCTGGTTAGCTTCCCCTGGGTGAGAGGGGGGAGACAGAGGGGGGGGGTGGTTAGAGGAAATGGGCTTTAGCCTTCACCGTGATCTTACACATCCTCTAAATACCTTGTCCACACATTTCACACTCTTTATTCAGACCCAATACACAGTCAAGGAAAAGAAAGTGGACAGCTGATGCTTTCGTCTCGTTCAGTCTTTGGAAAGCGTCGCTGCCAGAAACTGAAACCGTTTCAAAGTCATGATTGGACATGAGAAACTGTTACGTCTTCCAGAAAACGAACTACTAATTAATACAATAACAGATTACATTAGAACGATAGAACCTCCATATTAACTGCATATATAACATGTGTGTAACTTTCCTCTGCTTCCTCAGGTGATGGTGACACGAAGCAGACAGACGCTGTCCTGGACAATTTTGAGTTTTTCCATGAGAAGGGAAAAGAGAAGGAGGACGACCTCCACAAATCTTACAATGACAGGTCGTACCTGAGCTCTGAGGACATGGGCCCCGGGGAGAGCCGCACTGGTGAGCAGGAGCAGAAAGAGAATTTTAGACATTAAAATGTGAAGCAGGACTCCAATGCCCCACACAGCCACTTTTAATATGAACAAACGTAAATGAAATTAATGAAACTATATTAAACTAACTCTGGCTTCTGTCCTCCTGCAGACTTTGTAGCTCTGTTGACAGGGGGGACGGACTTGTGGAGCTCCAGCGGTGTTGCCAGAGCTCGGTTCACTATGACCAGAACCAGTTTGGCCTTCTCCATCACATTCCAGAGGTAAAACACAGAATGAGTTTTAATGGGTTTTTATTTTTCTCAAGCTTTAGTGTCGTGGTGCTCTCTCTCTCTTCTTTCTGCAACGACTCATAACTTCTCCTGCTCTTCCCCCAAACAGACCTGAAGTGTTTAGAGAAGCGAATTTAATAGACGTCATGATTGACCTGTTGTTTTGAAGCCTCATTTTGTTGAGAAGTAACAAAAGGGAGTCGAAGAAATATGAACACAGCATTAAATATCTGTCATTCTTTCCACCCCCTGACTTTGCAGGATGGACCGTCCCAGTAAAGTACTCTTCGTGGATTCAGACGGGACCACTGCCTTTGAGTACAGGGTCCCCAAGGGAGAGTCGGACATGGTAAGACACCACTGAGAATATTCTCTTATTTCTCCTCTGTCAATGTTTTATTTTGTCATGTTTGTCCGTGTGAGAGGAAGATTAAAAGTTCTGGTATGAATAACATTCTCACTGCATGACTACACACAGACGCACACCCGAACACACACACACACACACACACACACACACACACACACACACACATATGCTTCGTTTTTGCTTCATTGCCTCTCTGTAAACATCATAAACTCTCTCTGATTGTCTGATTGCACCAAACATCCACGCTCGCTCACCTCCAGGTTTGAGATGCACAAGTCTTAGTTTGATAAAAGTCCAATATCACTGTGATGAATCATCAAACCAATATGTTGGTGTAACAGTAGTAACTACACATGCATGTCCACAAACTCCCTGAGGTTTGACCCAATCACTGCTCATCATTTCCTGCCAATACGCACACACACACACACACACACACACATCTCCTCATTCCATGTCAGACCCCAACACTCAGGCTGGGACCCCCCCCCACCCCCCCAAAATACAGGACCCAGAAAAACGCTCCTATTATTATTTTTAGATAAATGTCAGGGTCAAGCACCAGAGGACCTTGGAGAAAACACTCGTGCTCAAAAAAAGGACGGTTGTTGGGGGATGGCTGGGTTTAGCTGGAGCTAGGAAGAGAAAGAGAGAATGTTTCACATGTTACATCACTGCTTAGCAGGGGGACAGAGCGTATCACTAATTGAAATGGAGATTACCTCTGAACTCTTGAGTTATGAAGGGCCGGCACGCTGCCACATTTCTTCCCTCTGCTCTCGAGAAGAGTGTTGAAGGGTTGCAGCCTGGAGTCTATAACACAATCCCGTGGTCTGCTGTATGCAGCGTGTGTTATTATTATCAGAAAGCTGATTTTGAGATTATATCCCATGTATGAGTGGATGTTGTCGCCTCACAATGCTGCCTGTGTGTGTGTGTGTGTGTGTCTGCAGATCTGTGGAGTGTGGAAGAACCTGGCGAAGCCTCTCATGCGACAGCTGCAGTCTGAGCAGATGCGCATCCGCATGACCACATCAACGAGCAGACGAGAAGAAGTGGAGGGGAAGATCATCAAACACAGAGCTCTGTTTGCTGGTTAGTGTGCACGGAGGCTATTATAGCATTCTCTATCAGACCAGACATGTGTCTGCCTTTGTTTTTTGTGCTGTTCTACACAATAAACTCAATATTTACAGATCACTGGAACTGTGTACATTCTCATGTAATCTTTAGCAGCCATAGATGGACTAATGTAGAGAAAAAGAAAGGGCTTTGTTTACAGAGGGGTATTTGTGTAGACGTCCTGTAAGAGAGCGCAGATACTCAATGCGGTGATGTGCTCGTGTCTCACGTACAGAGACGTTCAGTTCAACGCTGACGTCCGAGGAGGAGAATTCCGGCACGGGAGGCATCGCCATGTTGACACTGAGTGACACGGAGAACAACCTGCACTTCATCCTCATTCTGCAGGGCCTCATCAAACACAAGGACGAAGGTGAGTGATGGAAAGCTAAAGTAAAGTGTTTGGGAACGTGGTGACGCTGAGAAACTGCAGGTCTGACAGGAAGTAGATCAAATGAGAGTTCAGAGGGTTGGGATAGATAAACACCAGACTGATGAGTGGAAGATGATCAGTTCAAACTTACTCCCTCTATAACAAATAATGAATTTACATTCCTGTTTTACAAATTCCAGAATCGGATCGCTTCAGTTCATCCATTTCTATTAATGTCTGTAAACCTTCTCCTCCTGTAAACCTCCTGGAAAAGCTACACTCTGAAATTTGGAAGGGCTGATATAGGAAACAGACATGATGATGAGGAAACTGTCTCTCTCTCTCTCCCCTCAGAGCCCCTCTTGGTGCCCATCCGTGTCCAGCTCATGTACCGCCAACACATCCTGAGAGAGATCCGAGCCAACATCACCTCTCACGTGAGTGTTAACGTACAGCAGGGTCCAGACACCAACACTGAAGAGCTGCTGATCGCTAACATTAAATAAATACATTGATCTTTACATCTGAAAAATTTGTAGAAGAATCCGAAATAAAAAAAATATTCAGCGATTGCTCTCAGATAAGAAGGGAAAAGTGGGAGTAGTGTTCGGAGGAGGAGTAGGGTTGTTGTCGGTTAGGAACATATGACACAGCAACCCACCCACCACCACCACCACCACCACCACCACCACCTTCCCTCTCTGAGACGGATGTGGTTGGGTCACCACATCCTCGCGCGGTTGTCGCCGGCGCTCTGATGGCAGCTAACTACCCCGAGACGTGACAAGTAAAATGGATGGAGACGAGGGTGATGGTGGGGGGGGGACGAGGAGAGGGAGAAAGTGTGCGAGAGGAGCTTTTGCAGGGGACAGATGTGAGTGAGGGATGAGAGACAGAGAAAGAGGGAGGCAGAGAGGATGGACTGCGTACACACTCCACACACATGTCAGTGGTTAGTGGTCTGTGGGCTGAGATGGATGGAGGGAGGAAGGAGGGAGTGAGCGGGTGATGAAAGGAGGGCCTGGTTTTAATTCTGCCAGGAACTGCATGAAGAGCCGATGCGCCCCTTTCAAGCCTGGTGGTGAGGGACGCTATCCGTGGAAATCATGTGAAAGGTTTGAGCTCGGCGACGCGAAGCGACCTCGACGAGCGTCCCCCGGGCGAGACGTCGAAACCAAAATCTCTGACTCATGTCAAGCTGAGCTGAGTCACAGAGACATGTAAACAACAGACATATGACACATCATTCCTCAGCTGAAACACTCATATACAACAAGCAAGAGCGTTTTCTAAGAGGACCAGTAATCCTGACAGAGTTACTGCTCCTCCTGATTTATATCACACCCCAATATATCCGTCCTCACCTTACTTCTCCCTCATTATTCTGTCCGTTCGTTTCCCCAAATATAAGTCACCCTCTCTCCGTCCAGCCACTTCTCAGCTCCTGCTCTGTTTTGGCTCCTCACTGTGTGGATTTATGGTACATGTATATTTATATTGAACCGAGGCCCCGGGGTCATAAAAGTAACATTTCTTCAACACGCTCGTACATCTGTCCTATTAATCCAACATTTCTCAACATCCTGACTGACCCCCCCCCCCTCCCCCTCCTCTCCTCTCCTCTCCAGTCTGCCTGCTTGAAATTAATCTTCCTCCTCAATATGAAACATGTTACGGCAATGCGAGCCATATTTCAGCCCTGGGTTCAAGTGTGCACTTGTGAGTGGTGTGATTTAAACACTGAGGTTTTGTGTAACCTTTGCGTAAAGGTCACTGACTCTGTGATTGTTGAATTAATCTCACACTGGCAGTTGAACCAACATCAGGTCAGTGAGACCTTGAAGATATGAGGCGGCATTTTCAGTTCTGGGACTGAGAATCACTGGAATTAGAGGTTTTACCCTCTGACAGCTGACCCACGTTTAACATCTAGCCATTTCTCTATCTGTGCAGGATCCAGATTTTGCAGAGGTGCTGACAGACCTGAACAGCCGCGAATTATTCTGGTTATCACGCGGCCAGCTGGAGATCGCCGTGACGGCCGAGGCTCAGGATCCCCGGCAAATCTCTGGCTTCATCACCGGCAGAAAATCTTGTGACAGTAAGTGTCCCCCGCAACAACTGGAGCAAACACCTTTACGTTCCTCCGCATCTGTCTCCTCTGCATTGTGTGTGCAGATGCAACAAACATGGAGGCCGCTGAGAATGTGTTTTGCGTCGTAGTTGGTTTGCGCTCGTCCATGTGTGGCTGTTTTTGTCATTCCTCTCTATAAATACTTCTTTTTTCTCTCTGTCTCCATCCTTTCAAGTCTTATCACTGGGGGAAAACCATGTTTATAGACCTTCTGTTTGACTTGGTGGCCCACCAACACTGTGTATGCATGTCCATATGTGTGTGTGTGTGTGTGTGTGTGTGTGTGTGTGTGTGTGTGTGTGTGTGTGTGTGAGAGAGAGAGACASAGAGAGAGAGACAGAGGTTTCAGGAATGTTGTGGACAGCCCAATCGTCTGAAACCGTAAAAGCATGCACACATGGTCTTTTCATGGGATGCATACTTGTACATGATCATGGAACATCAAGGTGTCGGACACTTTGAAACACTTTGAGAGGTGTTTTTATTCTCTAACAGACACAAACACATGCACACAAACACACACAAACACACATAAAGACTCTATTTTATGAAAGTTTATACACACACACACACACACACACACACACACA